GTTCAAAAGGTCAAAACTCAGTCTGAAGCCTAATTTTGCATTTAAAGGTAAAAATGTGAGACAAATATTTTAAAAGTACTTAGTTATAGGATTTATTAGATTATTTTTTTAAAATAAGCAAAAGAAAAAAAATCTATATTTATGTGTGTGCCTCTAACCGAACTATTACCCAAACGGCCTTTGGAAATTACGCACATAAAAACGCCTGGCACGTTTTTCTACCGAGTGAATCCCTTAACAAATATCCACCCTGTCCTTGATAAAAATACAACAAAATAACTGATGAGAATGTATTTTTAAAAATGTAGTTATATTGCTTCTTAAAATAATAACTGTGTTTTGTCATTAACCGGAGTCTCCACACACGCCCACCAACTCTCCTGTCGCCTTTGTGCTTGAAGAACTTTTTAAAAATATATAATTTAATAAAATAACGTTTAATTTGTAAATGATTCTACTGAGGTAGAATATAGCAAACCCGGGGCAGATATGAACGGTGACCCTAAAAGGCCCCATCGCCGTCTGCGGCTGAAGACGGACAGACGTCCCTAACAGCCGCAAGTCAGAAACCCCCCGAAAAAAAACCCCAACTGTCCTACAGCTCAAGTATTAGAACTTAATAGGAGGTTTACGATATTTATTGAAGAAGCCGATAACTGCCTCGGGGTGTTTGCAATTAGTCGCCAGCTGCCAGGAGGACACCCAACCCTCCTTCCCCTTTCTCGAACCTCCGTTTTATATAAAATAGATTTGGGAGAAGCGCCATTTTCTCTCCAAACCATGCGCAATGAGACGCACAAGAAAAGCCCGTTGGAGGAGTGCCATTAAAAAGAAAGGGGGGAGAGAGAAGGGAGCGAGAGAGAGAGAGAGAGAGAGAGGGAGAAAGAGGGAGGGAGGTTAAACATGGGAAAAAGCAGAGCAGAGTTGAAAAAAAAAGGTCCTTAATACGCAACAAATGACAAGCAGCAGCAGCGCGACAGACAACACAACACTGTAACCGCGTACAGTAGAAGCAGACCGGAGGCGCACGACACCGGAAAATCTTTTCTTAAAAAAAAAAAAAAAAAAAAAACACAGCGAAGAGGAGCGTTAAAACGGCGATTTTCTTTCCATACCTGTGTCAAGCAGTAAGGGGAGTACATGGTGGTGTCTAGAGATGAAAATTGGAGTTGTTGATAACAAAGTTGGATGGAGGTTTGCTGCGGTGCCGCATTGCAAAGCCGCTGTGGCTCAGTCCAGGCTGTAACCCCGCCTCACTCGCAGTGAAAGCTCGGCAATAACTTTAGGGGAAAGTTTTGCTGCTCTCTCTCCCTCCCTCCCTCCCTCCCTCTCTCTCTCTCTCTCTCTAACTCTGCCCCCCCTCCCTTCCTTCCCGCTTCTCTCAGATCGACACAAACCTAACTTTATATTTAAAATCATGCGGGGTTGCTTAACGCTTTGGAAAGAATCAGTGCTTCGCTAAAACCCCCAAAGAGATACACTGTTCCTGCTGCACTGTAGCTGCGTCTGTGATTCTCAATGAGGAGTGCAGTCACATTTTTTCTTATTTTATTATCTATATATGTATTTATCATCTGCAATATTCATATGGCATTTAATTTTGCACTTGCAGTTCTGCAGAAGGTGTATTTTTTAATTTTAATAATTATCTATCTATCTATCTATCTATCTATCTATCTATCTATCTATCTATCTATCTATCTATCTATCTATCTATCTATCTATCTATCATGTTACTTAAAACATTTTAATAGCTTGTGGCAGGAGTTGAAAATTCCACAAACCTTCCCACCTTCCTCTGGTGCAGGCACATCTATCTAAATATATATATTTTTTGCTTTTGTTTGTTAAAACTTCTTTTGCCATTGAGCACACAGCAAGTGATTGATGGATCAGATTTCCTCAAAATGATCTTTTTTTTTTTTTGCTTGCTTTCATATCCTTTGGTCCTATGAAGAATGTAGAAGCAAGCCCAAGTGTGACCAAAATAGAAAGGAGAAAAAGTTTGAGATTTACAGCTCAGATTATGCTGTGGTCGTTTGTCGTGATGGTGACGCAAAGCTGTCTGCACAAATGAGTCAAGGGCCTTAAGCTGAAGAGGCCCGTATTCTTAGTTTGACTGTGTGTTACAGTAAATAAAACGTGAGCAGGGAAGTGAGCATTTAATGCTGCTGAAACATGTGGGTCAATTATTTGTATTTTACTGCATTTTACAGAGTGTCACGGCTGGATATGAGGCCCAGCTCTGTCCATTTTCCTGAGGATGTACTTTGCTGCTCAGTTTGGGACAAACAGCTCTTTATCTGTACGGTATAACCCCAACGTATAAAATATTTACAGTGAAAATTTAGATATTGTCAATATTTCTGTGTATTTCTATAAGTTGAACTAAAGAAGTCCAAAATTATTACAGCAAGTTTTAAATTTCACTGTCTAAGACTGTAATTTACTCAGCTGTGATACCTCTTGGTTTCCTATTTCTCTCCTTTTTAATTAATTCCAAGTCATATTCCAGCTTACTATATACGTATATGCAGACAAAAGATACCTAAACTCGGGCAAAGTGGTCTAAACCAGTTTCATTGTGATTCCTATTGTATGGAAGCGATGCACTCTGTTTCTAATCAGGCTTGGCTTTATCCTCGCCTGCTCTCTGCTCCTCAGCCTAATCAAACTCATATATGCAGGCAGAGTGCCTGCAATTATACATAAGCCCCTGCCTTGTGCATGTGTGCACGAGTGTATAAGTGAGAGTGTGTGTGAGAGCATTAGTGTTTGGAAATGTGTGTGCGCACCTACGTGTGAATACGATTCTGAATGTGCATATGTCCGGGTGTGTGTTGGAGTTGTGCAAAAGTGTGTTCACACATATGCACGCGTGCGTGTGTGTATGAGTGTGTGTGTGTGTGTGTGTGTGTCTGTGAGTGTGCAAGGGTGCGGTTTTTGGGGTTGAGGTCACCCCAGTGCTTGTATGCCAAGTTTTTCAGGGGGATATGAAGCTGTGCAGCTTTACGAGACCTCAGCCTATGTAGGATACTTAGACGCTCACACCACAGACACACACATGCATATAATGTACAGTTTACACACATATACAGTGCGTACATGGACGCAAATGTCTGGTGGTCAAAGATATGCTGGCACAAACAAACAAAAAAAGAATTAGACTGAGAAGAAAGAGGGAAATACTAAATAAAAGTGGGGAAAAAAAGTAAAGCATATTGAGGTGTAGTGTTCTTTTCCCAAAGTCTCTCCTCTTTCCAAACCACACCCCACCACGGCACAGGCCCAAACCCCAAAGCCTTTGTGTGCTCCCTCACTTTCCCTCTTTCTCTTTCTGGCTACCCTCTTTTTCTCTTTCACAGTTGTATTTTTTAGGTGATCTTTTTCTGTTTTATAATCTTTTTTTTTTTTTTTGCTGTTCTTTTTCTCTTTCTGCCATCCTCAACTCACACTTGTGCACTGTCTCTTTTGTCCGTCTGACGAAACACATTGTCTTTGTCTCTGGCTTCAGCCTGGCATTAGATGTCCATCTCAGTATTCAGCACAGGCACTTGGCTGTAACAAACAAACTATAGCAACCGCTGGAGTTACAAAACATTGGCGCTCAGGTTTTCTTTCTAAACTCTCTCTCCCTTTCTGTTTTTCTCTCTCTCTCTCTGCCCGGGATCGAACAGGCCCGTCAGAACATCACCTATGAAAGCCCCTCGACTGAGCGGGCATGTGGTGGTTTCTTAGACTACGTTTGCCATTAGAAAGCACATGAGAAAACCATATGGTATGTCCAAAGTTAGCAGGTTGTGGTCTCTCATTGACACACGGCGCTATCCATGTACTTGCTGTTTACCATTGCTTGTGGCTAGGCCATTAAATATTGAAAGTGATGTAGCATACTGATACTGCCATTAGCATGCTAAATGTGTGAGACAGGTGGTTGAGGCTGTCTTTCAAAAGGCAGGAAATATGTGAACGGAAAATATGTGTAACTGTACCGTTTACTACACCATACAGTGTAAATATTGTTCGAGTAAGCTGTTTATGTGTGCTCTAGGAAGGAGCACGCCAGTCAAATGCATACAGGCATATGCAGTCAGAAAGAAATGGCTGACTGGCCGCTATGGCTAACAAGCATATTATACACAGTGTGGATCCCAGAGACTCTATGGATCTGTTTGCAATCTGAGTGTGTGTGCAGAGCAATGTGCTACGCCTGCTGCTTTTTGTGTTTACTGTATGTAGTAGCTGCTCATACGTTATACTCAGACTGGTTTGGATTTCTGCATTTCTGCCGTGTTTGTATTCAGCAGAAAGAAAACGTATAGATTTATTTTAGTCTAATGTCATCATTCCTTAATTTAAGCGGAAAATGCAACATGTCAGATTGCAGCATGCAGGCCAAAGGAGCAGTTTTCCAGGCATTCTAGCAGTTATCTGTAAACTCTCCCTGAAACACGTTTTAAAAAATATATTAAAATGACAACATGCAGCACATGTCACACAGAAAGTGTCCTGCAAAACAAATCTCGTCTGGCATTTTGCTTTGTTTTCACTGGCTTCTAACTTCTGTCTTCGACGTGAAGAGAATGTGTGCAGATTCTGCAACAAAGCCAAACTTCTGCCAAGCGTAAATAATACCTTGTAAAAAATACATGTCACCGAAAAAGCTGACATTTTTAGGAAACATAATGTTTTTGCAGGGCACTGTTGCCACATGTCAGCACAGGCGACAGATGAATTCAGGATATCCATGGTTACGGCAGAATGTCAACACAAAATGGGGATGTATTTCCTGAACACATTCATATCAGAAGCTCTTTTTCAAAATCATGAACGTAATAAAGTGGTTAACATATATAGTTTTCATCATGTTGAAGTCTGAGCTTGTAAAATGATTTTTTTGGGGGGGGGGGATTATTTCCAAGGGCTTGTTTGTGTGTTCAGGAAACAAATCTTGGGACGCAGACACAAGGATGGATATAGAGAGCTTAGAGTGTGTATACCCTGTATGTGTCAGACACGAGGAAACATTCAGGCATCCCTGGGCCTCTAGTAGGATCGTCGTTCACCAGGTAGGTGTCAGTAGCCTGAAAAACACACACAAAGATAGTTATTTAAATAAAATGTTCACAGTTTAGTTGCGTAGTGATTTGGCCACATTGTTGGCGCCTCTCTTCGGAAGCCATCTCAAATGATTTTATGACAAAGGTGCCAGAAAATCAAGCGCTTGCTTCTTGGTGTGATGTTAAGAAAAAGGAATAGACTTTAATATTTACCAAAGACAATGTTATACTGGGCTTTTGTTATTCTTTAATAAATATTAAGCAACACTAACCCTAAGAAATTATGCAGTGAAAAAAAAACACTTGCAATTTTGAGAATTTAGTAAAATCCACAGAAACATTCGTGACCAATCATTTCCTGAAGTCACTCTGATATAAACCTGGTTTTCTTTCTTCCTCTTTGTGATGCAACCCTGAAATTTACCTGTAACATGCGAGACGGTGTCATAACCCCTGCCGGTTTCATTTCTCCACAGAAGAAGCAAATCCCTAGTCAGATAGTCTGTAAGTACCAGTGTGTATGCATGCATATGTGTGTAGGTGTGCATTCAGGGAGCTTCATTTGTATTCTAAGTCAAGCAGGCAGGCGGGCAGACAGGGTTCTGGCAGGGCCTGGAGCTGTGAAATAGGCTCTCCTTGCAGTTCTGCCGTTGATTGGATCAACCTATCCCACTCTACTTAGCCGAAGGGAGCCCAAATCCCACAGCCGCTGTGCCGTTCTGTGAAATCCTATTTCATTTCACAACTTTAACGGATAAAAAAGCATGCACACACACTTGTGCCAGCCCAAGACCCCATGCCACATTTATTTAGTGAACAGGAGCAGAGAAAACACAGTGTATCTGGTTGTGAAGAAATGTTTGAATGCGCACACATATAGTCTAACCCTCTTGAAAATATAATCCCCAGTACGTATATACATTTTTTCCACACCCATGCGCTCTCAGGCTCGCACACGAACACGCAGCGACACACACACACACACACACACACACACACACACACACACACACACACACACACACACACAAGCACACACCAGTGCACACGTGCATGCCACTTACGCAGACACACAGACACAAACCCCATAATAAGAGCCAGACGTTGGCAGACCACACAGCCCTGAGTTGTGGTGAAAACAAAGGCTATTCATATCCTTCGCAATGAGAGGTCTGTACAGCTAACTCTCTTTCTCCCTCTCTCCCCCGTCCCTCCCCTCAGCTTTTTATTACAGATAATCTGCACTCACAAACCTTCCATTTTTCTGCAATTGTGCGATTCCTAATCATCTTTATTAGTCCATAAACACGTTTTTTTAAAATTTTTAGTCTCTTTTTTTATTGCAGAGGCCCTCAACTCCTTGAGGGGGCAACACAGTGCCTATTGTTGAGTCTCAAGATGATGATGAAGCCAGGAACAGAGTGAAAGAGGCCTGATAAGACAGCAAGGCATTCTGGGATTGGGGTAGCAGAGTTCCTCAGATGCACACACGTACACGTGCATGTTAATACACCCAAGAGCGTACACAGAGACAAAATGTGAGCACTCAAAGTCTGCCAGGCCACATGTGTCTGATAATGAAACGATGCATCCGATTGGCTGTTGGTCAGAATAATGGCCTGGATCCACAGCACCTGTGCGGGGATCCACACCAGTGCGAGCCTGCCGACTACCAGCGAACAGACCACAATGCATCAGGTGCCCTGCAGCCTCTGTGATTGGCCGTTCCCGGCCAGAAACAGGGTCAGGTGCACTAGTAAGTCTTCCCTGATTGGTTGAGCCGAACCCAAAAAGCTGCGGGTGGGAAAGAGCTGTTTTCATTGGCTGCCACTGCCTCATTCTGCTGGTGAATGGGTGTCTGGGTGGATGGCACTGGGACAATTAGGAGTGTGTGAGAAAACATACTGAATATTTGTGAAAAATCTTTGTACATATGTAGCTCTTCATATCCACAGAATCTCAGCATTGACCAACCTTTAATTTTTGACTTCAGGACAAACAATAAAAAGCACACGCAAAGAAACTGCACCCTAACAATAGCTAATTTGCTCTTATTTCATATTAACCAACCAACAAAGAGGAATTTAAATGCCCTCTTTATGTTGTCAGCCAAAGAAACAGGTGTTGATGAACCTCAATCCCATTGTGCAACAGTGAATAACATGAAGCTAATGAATAGGCTAAGCTCTGTACCTGCCACTGGGGAGGCCAGAACATACTGACTCCCTTTGTAGTAAACCCCTCAAAAAACTCCAGGCCCCCAAACACTCTCTCCTGCAGCAGTGTATGAATTATATATTATACTATATATATAGAACATATGCCCAGCCCATATGGCCAGCCCTGAGCGAAAAATCTCAAAGCCCTCCTTAATTAACATTTTAGAGGGAAGATTCGGAGGCGGGAGATTGAGTCAGTGACCTATTTGGAGTCCATCATCGCCCAATGCAAATGTGTTAATTGAGACAGATTTTCCTACTCCACAGATATGTGTAGTAGTGGATGCAGTGGAGGATTTTTTTTCTTTCAACTTTTTTTTTTTTGGTCTGAGCCATCTGATCTAAGGTAGGGGAATAGGATCTGTTTAAAACTGCCTTTCCACCGACAAAAGAAGACACGTCTCTTTCACTTTCTCCCTCAGTCTTCCCTTGGCTCGCTCTCTATCTGTCTCCTTCTCTCTCTGGGTATATGTGTTGATGACCATATGGCCAAATTCTTTGGAGGTGAGATCTCCAAAAAACCTGCTCACACACTTGCGCATACGCTCACACATGTACTTACACACACACCTCCACAGAGCTTTGTGTATGAAAGGCCCTGATGGTGGAATTTGTTTCAGATGGCTCCATTTTAAAGCACATGAATGGCAACATATCAATGATCCTCCTCTCTATCTTTCTGTCTCTCTGCATCTCGCATTAGCAGTTACACACGAACACACAGCACCTACACACACACATATACACACAAAAGAAACTTCCATCACACACACACACACACACACACACACACACACACACACACACACACACACACACACACACACACACACACACACACACACACCTGGTGCAGTCCTCTTCTTGTTTCCAAATAGGATTTATTCTGGCTGTCGCACAATCATCGACCGCAACCACCATCAGTGCTGTCAGTCCATCTTTTTAAAAAACCATAATTATTATCACTGCCATTGTGTCTTAAACACGTTTTTATCATCAGGATTCGGTGGCTGAAAATAACATTGCCAAGTTTAAGGCACAGGATGAAAATGGAGGGGGGGGGAGAGGCAGTCCAGCCAACCTGCGTGAGATGGCAACCACTTCAAAGACGCCAGGCCGCACCGGCGATCTGTTCCATGGTGTGTGAGGAGTGTATGAAAGGCAGAAATGGCCGCTGTGTGAGTCCCTGCCAAAGCTACCTCAGGGAAAAATGTTGGAAAAATACAATTTTTCACACAGCCATCTCGGGGAGGGGGGGTTGTTGACGAGGAAATGGGGAGACTAAGAAAGAAGATGAGAAACTGAGGGGCTGCATTAAAAAAATAAAATAGATGGATGGATGGCTGAGCAGAGTGGAGCTAATTATTTCACTCCACTTGTGGGTCCTGAAGGTTTAGTTGGGTCAGAAGTACAGCCAAGATGCAGAGCTGAAGATTGCATTTGGCTTAATTGTGCAGTTGTGTTTCACACAATAGTAAATGGTGGGATTCTGGATAAGGCATGCAGCACATGGTGTGAACACTGCATCTTAAGGAGGCCTGACTGCAGGAGGGAGTCGCATAAAACTGTTTCAGATGACTTTAGCAAAAAACATTTGACTTATGTGAGATATTCAACTGTGTGCATGTTTGTGTGTGTGCAGTTCCAATCAAAGGTAAGGTGAAACTTGTGCCTGGTTAATAGATGTGAAACTCCGCCAGCCCTAACAATGGCTCGTCCCGACTTCATGTAAAAAAAAAATAAAAAAAACTTTACCAAAACTGTTACGGTGTAACAAGTTTGAACAGAGCACACATTGTGACACACCCCAAGATTCACTCGGCCTGGCACCTCGCCTGTCAACTACTGATCTTGCTAGACAGGATAGGCTATGGACTGTGGCCTGTAGATAATACCATGCCAATTGTAACACTGAACTTCCCGGGCTACAGCATTTCACTGCCACAGTGCTTGCACCACCTCCTCCATACATTTGGAAACCCGACGCCACTGGCACCTCTTTTCCTACATGGATCCTCGTTCAAGCTTTTTTTTTTAAATGGCCAAACCACACTCAGTTAAGGTCGAGCTGCACTGGCTAAGTGCATTTAACAATGAGGTTTGGGCTGGTACAATCAGCCCTTTGTGTCACATGAGGACTGATCCATGGGGAGATTTTCTTGTGGTTATGGGTCTAATACAGCAGAGTTTACCACAAAGACCAGGAAGCATGGAGTTACATTACAGCACACACACACACACACACACACACGCACACACACACGCACAGACTGTATGACTCAGTGAAGGAGCGTGTTGAGCTCATTTCAAATGTCTCACCCACTTCCAGCTCAACTCAAATGATACTCTGAAAATGTATTTAATAATACGGCAAGGGTCACGCCCACCTCCCAACTTGGCACCAGTAACTTTCTTAACTTTTATTTGACTGACAGATTTTGTGGTTGGCAGGTTTTTCTCTGCAACAACCGCAGCGCAACCAACTGTGAAATTATAGGCCCACAATCAAAACAAAAATGAGGATTGTAATATAACTGCCAGTTATGAACCATTGTCTAATGGTTCGCTTACCTGCAGAAATAAAAGACAGATAATTGGACGGCTGACATCAGAAAAAACACACGCGGCCTGCGATTTGACATCCTGAGCTGCTCGAGGCCTGCTGTTGCTGTTGTGCAGGTATGACGGGGCGTCCCAGCAACGTGGGCCAACACACATTTTTGGCAGGTAACCCCTATAAAAGTTATGTAACAGATATTTAAAACACATGAAAATATGTGTTTGCATCCTACTGATGTGACAGAATGTGTGTCCTTCATGTGAACAGAAATCACTGGTCACTGATGGTGTTACTGTATACAGGAAGCATTTGCTTATGTTAATGACACTGAACTTCCTCTTCACCGTGAATTTGAGAATAAACCTTTGGGACTAAACACTCTGAGCAGTTAAAAAAAAATTATAATGCGACTTTTATAATGTAATCAAAATATGCACACTAGGAGAATTCAAGCACAAATCTATATATGCACATATTTTCCTTTTTTGCTCATCATTTGTACGATTTCAAGTTCATGTGTGTTTATTATATTAATCGCTTCTATTCATAAGAAAAACACATTGTTTGAAATTGTAATCTTGTCTATATAAGATATTAATTTTATTTCTAAGGACCAACTTATTTAATAGAAACTTGCCAGAGGATCACTGAATAAGATTTTTTGTGTTTAATAGCACTAATATGCAAAAACTCAATAGAAAACTTTGATCAATGTACAAAAATGTGAATTATAATTGTAAAATATTTTATATTTTTTTATAATCTACTCTGTAGTTCTTTATGTGTTGCAACAAAAGCTGCTCATCATCACCCAAAAAAATTTAACAGGTTTAACAGACCCTGTAAACTATATGTCAAATGACAAATCCACAAATACAGTTGAATTATGGCATGTTTTACTCGAATCTCCTGGGATGCTCATAAAACATCCTTTAGGTCACAATTTTATGAGGGCATTTTAATACAAAACATTAAAAGCTGACAATTTAGTGCTAATGAATCCTTTACTACAGTTACAGAACCATCAGCTGCACACTGAAAAGAAAAGCAGTCCTAAATAACAATAACAATTCTTTTGCAATAATAATACAACCGATCTAAAGACGATGTTGGTAATAAAATGCATTATTTATGTTTATGTATGCTGCAGGATTTAAAGAGATAATTCGCTGATAAGCATCCGATTTTCAGATTAACATTAAATGCAACGGAGGGGCTCTAATTCGTGCTATTTTCCTGTATACACTCTCACCACTTGTTCTGGGGACACAAAGACAGTCTGTGTGTCACCTCACCTCCCCACCCCCTTGTAGTCACTATAAAGTGTCATCAGCTACGCAAATGAAGTGCCCATTGATAAAAAGAGCAGCCGCCTTCCGATGGAATAGAAGCAGTCCGGGTGCAAGGTGGAGGACGGTGCAGCAGTCGTGCGCCACACGGATTTATTTTTATTTTTTTTTAGGAATCTTGCGCATAATAATAATAATAATAATAATAATAATAATAATAATAATAATAATAATAATAATAATAATAATAATAATAATCGCCATGATAATAAATATCGCCCACAAACTGTCTGTGCGTGGCAGCCTTTCAGATCTGTCCAGTCTGTGGTCGCATTTGTGTTTTATTCTGTTTGATCTGAGCAGCGCAGTAAAGATCAGCCTCCCCGTTGTCAGTCGGTGTCTGCAGGGCCACTCAAACGCCTCTGCAAACACTTCAGTCTGCACATTGTTCACGCTTCAGAGAGGATACACTGTTTTAAAGCAGGGAATTTAGTATTTAATAAACATATATTTGAGTGTGTGTTATACACTTAGGCTGATTACTGTGGTTATCGATTTGAGAAAGGAAATTTTGGGAAAATGGCAGCAAGAAAAGTGCAGTTTACCAAAAGACCAAAAAATCAAAAAACAAAAACTGCAGCCTGGACTTAAAAAGCACAGATCTTTGTTAAAATATATTGTTGTGTGAAAATATCTGACAACGAGCACAGTTTATTAAATGTTTTTCAAAACTTGGTCAATCAGTGTGAATTTAGATGCTTTGCAAAGCTCAGAATTGGCAAGCAAAGCAGGTGGTTACTTTTACGCATGACGCAGACCTATTCTCTCTCTCTCTCTCTCTCTCTCTCTCTCTCTCTCTCTCTCTCTCTTTCTCTCTGTTACAGACACACATGCAAACACGCACGAGCGCGCGCACACACAGGTGTGTTGTACAGTCATCTGTGGCCTCACAATGAGCCAAACGTATCTCCAACAAAGTTCTGATAATTCACAAAGAAATTTAAGAGCTGAAACAACTGCAGGAATGCAGTTAAACAAAATCGGCGTTTTGTTTATTTTCAGTCCTATAGACTTTACCCTATAGACCCAATAGAAGGGAACTATTGAGTTACACAGCACGTACCATTATAGCGTGGGGAGATCTGCCAACCCTCTCAATGCCCCATTTTCCTTTAAAAGTTCAGCTTCCAAAAAAGTGAGAGAGGGAGTGAGAGCTGAGGGAGGAAGACTTGGTCTCTTCGCTGTTGCCGGAAGCAAAAAAAAGGTCCTTTAAACAAGTCGGCCTTAGGCCCAGCTAGAAAAAAAACACGCTGTTTCAAAAGTGGGTCCACTCTGCAAGAGATAGGAGGAAAAAGAGGACAGCGGCTCCGAGCTCTCCGTCTACCGCTGCTTGGCGTCAGATGCGCCCATGTCCATCGAGAAAGAAGTCAGAGAGACGTCTGCGTCAAAGTCCCGAGGTGCGTCCTTCAGCCTCCAAACTTGTCCAGCAGATTGAGAGACGCTCAAAAGCTCCCCCAAAATGATATTAATATCGCGTTCAAATTAATGGACGGGAGAGGTGATGCAAAGTAAGTTGTGTTTATATTCTTTTTTTTTCCTCGTGTGCAGCCTTTTTGCAGTTGAGCAGCTTCTGTTTCCAAAACGTGTCCAAAAGCAGCTGTCTCCTACGCCGCGCGTCCGATCTGTTTTACCCTCGTATCTTTCTCTCTCTCTCTCCTCTCTCTTGTTCCAAACACACACAAACACGCGCAAGCACACACGCGGAGTTACACACAAAACGGGGGGACACCCCTGGTCCCTCGCCTCCTCCTCCTCAAAAGCTGACGAGATGAAAGAGCAGCTTGCGTGTTTTTCCCGCTTCTTCAAAAATCGCCACCGCCTAGCAGGCGGCTGCAGAATGCCTGCACAGCGACACGTTGTCGGTTCCCGCGAAGCTTTTTCAGCGGCGGCGGGTCCGGATGCCTCGGTGCGTAAAATGGGAGCTCTCCGTGCGCTCCGGCGGCGAGCTCGCCTTCACTTCTCTCCCTTCGAGGAGAGAGAGAGAGAGAGAGAGAGAAAAAAAAGAAATGATCAGCCACTAAATAGCTCACTTCACCAGCATGTGCCCTGTTTAATCACACGTACACACCAAATAATAGACGGGGAATTAGGGCAGTTGTTTACAGTGGAGGAGGCGGGGGGTGCCGGTGCTTCAGGCGGCAGCAGCAGCGTCGAACTGGTGAATTATTAGGTGAATTATTAATAACGCGAACGGTGTGCAGTCTGTCGCGGAGAGAGCGCAGCGGCCAGGGGAGCAGCTGGGGCTTTAGGAGCATTAGGAGGACCAGGGGCTAAATCACGGACTGCCGGGATTAGGGCTGCACTGCTCCTACCTACCGCCTACTGAAGCTTTCAGAGTGGCACTGTGGGCACGGCCGGGCCACAAGCAAGAGCTGCTCCGAGTTGTGATTTCCGCGTTTCTTCTTCTTCTTCTTCTTCTTCTTCTTTTTTTTTTTTAATAATTACAATCTGAAGCAAAAAAAACAGGCACCCAATAAGGTCAATAAGTTCTTGTAGGGGAAATAGGGACGCAGTGAACAAGTGACGTCTGCATTTCCATCCAAAAAAACTTTAGTCAGGTGTCACTGAATCCCTTCTCAAAGAGTAACAAGGCTCTGTTTTTTGTTTGTTTGCTTGTTTCTAAAAGTAGTTCCATTTTTAAGCTTGCAGATTTATGAAACACCTGCCAGGTTAAATATATTCAGCTATTCTTGTTAGACACAATGATGGCAAGTTAGGAGCAATGATAATCGTGGATTTGAACAACCTCTAACTTCAGTGGTGTTTCACCTGACACAAACCTATTGTCACAGAATGAATGAAAAGTGAAGCAACAGGATAAACTGAGATATGCCAGAGTTCAGCCACAACAGATCTGATTATGGAGTCCAGAACACAATAAAAGGATCATTTTGGGGTAGAAATGTTCATAGTTTGAGGGACTTTAAGGCCAAATGCAACAGATCTGACACAAAAGACATGCACCAGAGAGAAAGAGAGAGAGAGAGAAAAAAACATGTTGACATGATCGCTGATTATTAGAAAAAAGAGTTAAAGTGGTTATTTAAGGAACATGTGAGAGTGAAGAACTGTGATGTGAATGAATGTGGGGACACCATGGTGCCCTAAAATGACCTGACATAAAGAAAACTGTCTCAAAAAATAAAATAAAAAGAATAAACAACACATTAAAGTGATTTTATCCAGCAATTTTATAAAATACAATATTGTGCAGCTGCACCATCAGGCCGATGACGTTCAAAAATGCACTTCTTTCAAGTTTCAGGGTTTGTTCAACAATTCCAAACCACTAATTCAAATAAAGGTAAATAATAACATAAAATTCTTTTTTTTCTTTCTTCTTCTTCTTCTTTTTTTTTTAGAAGATAAATGATGCATTTTGTCTGGATAAATCAGCACTGAACTCATCTCTGCGTGAAAAATCTGCTTCTCGTCAGTCGTGCGCGTGTCGTTATCCTCCTTCCTCCAGTCAGACGTCTAATGACATTCCTCCAACATGACGATTTATTAATTATTAATTGTTGACCTCCCCACACATTTGGCCACATTAATTAATAATCTCTAAATTAATTTGTTTTGTGTGTGTGTGTGTGTGTGTTTTTTAGTCTACTTTTAATTATTCAGTTTAACACAAAAAATGTGCTCTTAGTGCCCTATTGTTAATGTTATTATGACTATTTTGGGCATTTTAAAGTTTTTTAAAATGACATCATTGTTTTAGTATCAGAGGCCTCCGTGGCTCCTTTACGCAACAGGAGAGAGAAAATTAATGTGCATTTTTGGTTAATATTATAGTTGTAATGTTTTTCTTTTTCTTTGCTTTTTAATCAACAGACTCTTCAGTTTAAACCGAATTCTGTTTATTGGACCCAAACAAAAAGATAAATAACATAATGTAGCAGGTCAGCTTGATTTTGCACAATTTTACTATCCATCATCTGTAATGTATATATATATAATCTTTTCATGTTTATTATGTTGCTTATAATATTAGTTTGCTATTACTTGACAATGACTGTATTATTATTTCACAATATTTTTATATTATCAACAAAATGAAAAATCTTTCTATGCCAACTACTTGAAAAAACTGGACTGGGTATTGCTGTTGTAATTCATTATTTATCATTGGAGCTGTGCTCATTTACTGGGACGTGATGCGAACTCTACGTAGCTGTGGTGGCGAATTCACAGTGTTGGCAAGTTGAGCCTTCGATTATAATAATGATGAGATGATTGCTGCAGTTTGTGGAGAATTGAACATGTTTTAAAATCCATTTGTGGACGAAAATGACAACAGCGTAATCTTCAAAGGCAGTAAAATCAACATAATGATATTAGTTATTCTTCTTCTT